GCATCAATACCAAAACATCCATAAACAAAATGTGAGCTTCACACCAGTCCAATAGAATTAAATCTTGGACTTCTAATGGGACCTTATGAAGGAGGTGGTTGTGTTTTTTTTTTGACACTTGTTTTTCAGTCGTTACAGTTGGATGGACAGATGTTTTGGTGTAAAGATGAGACAAGGCGACAAAATATACGACAAAAAGCAAAGCAGACCAACACAAGGAGAAAACTGGAAAGTAACGGTGGTACGATAGTCATGGATGGACAAGGACAACGTGGCCCGGGAGACAGAGAGGAGACAGAATATAAACACACACAAGGGCAGGGGGAGATAAGGGGACTGCAGGTGGGACACACCAGGAAACAGGAAACACAGGAGGACAGGAAATGATTGAGCTGAAAATGAGACGTGAGAAACAGAACAAAACAAAAATCAACTTCACTGGCGTGTGACACAAGAGCGCCACATGGTGATGGGGACCAGGAGGGAGGGCAGGGAAGTGGCCCTTAAAGTTGGGGGCAAGCCCCAGATAGCTGAGGGAATAAATTAATTTCAATTTACTGTTTTATAATTGTATTCCCTTTGTTATGTGAGAATAGTGGTTTTTAATTTTTAATAAGGTTCAGGGGATTTTTGAAGCCAGGTGGAGGGTTGGGAGGGTAAAAAAAAAAAAACTGTGGAAACCACTGGGTTGAGAGGTCAGCGTGAATCATCATTACTTAAAAATCCTTTTATTGTAATATATTTAATTTTGGTGGTGGTGTTGATGAAAAAAATTACAATTAATTTTGTATCGTATCCACACCTTCTCTGTAAACACCTCCTCTGATCAAAACACAGCAGTGATGGAATCAAGTGGTTCTGTCATTACAAAATACAACAACAACCAAATCAGTCAGAACACAAAACAACACAACACCAACAAACCCTGTGTATTTTTTTTCTTCTTCTTCACGTTTGGCATCAAAGTGCTGCAGGATGTGGATGATTTTTTCAGGCCGACACCAGGAATATCAATTCATAATGTACGTGACACAGTTTTGTTAAACAACACATTATTTAGTGATAATTCTCAGCGTGTTAATAATCTGATCTGGAGTCAGGGGCTTGCCTATACGCTGTGTTCCCAATGAATATGTATTTCTGACTACGCTGAGGGTAAACATGTTATTTAATCATCTACATGTTTTCAGTCGTCATTGCCTAAGTGGGATGAACAAACCCCAGGTGGTGGACACATAGTACTAGAGACTGGCAGAGGGCAGCCTTCCTGCATATCATTCAGCTTTTAAGCGATACGTGACATCTGTGTAGTAGGGCAGCTTAAGGTGAACTGCAATCTGTGCCACATATAGGACGGGTTGTTGGCCTTATTTATGTGGTCTGGAGTCCAACAGAGAGTCTTTATGTTCTAATTGACTGATTAATTATAATCACTGTTTTAGTGACATTAGGACATAGTTCCTGACATTTCTTTGTTGTCAGTTTTTTTTTTTTTTTGGTGTAAATTTGCAATACTACTTCATACAGTACAATACTCACACTCATTATTATTATTACTGTTATTAAATATAATTAAAAAATAAAAATAAATAAAAAATAAACCAAAATCAAAAGCATCAAAAATTGCTTATAGACAAAATCAAAAGCATCAAAAATTGCTTATAAACAGTATTAAAATAATAATAATAAATATGATGCAGAAATGCACATGTCTGATCCCCAGGTAGATGGGCAAGAAAATAAAAATTATTCTATTGCCCTCAAAGTTTACTTTTTGTTTTTGTTTTGTTACACATATTAAGTTATATTATAATTCTTAATTCAGAGCAACTACTGTGTAAGGGTTGTCATGGTTTTGCCTCAAAGCCTTTTGAAATTAGCTGACAGGCGAGATCTGACCTTGACAAGGTCAAGGTCAAGACCCTGTGATAGCATGTCATTAGGCTTGAAGGTGTTCTTGACGTAAAGAAAATGTAAACTTAATCCTCACAGGTGCCTGAAAAGAACATATGACTTCCAGAGAAAACCATCCTTGAAACAAGAACATGATTCGCTGACCTTTACACTGTGACCAATCAAAACATCAACTTAATAAACAGTGGCACTGGAACTCCATGGGGTTTTGTTTTATTATTATTGTTTCACCATTGTTGCTGCCTGATTGGGTTGTGCTTATAACTGACTTTTGGTCATTTTGTAAATCAGGTGACGTCTTCACAGATGAAGACAACCTCTGTAATTATCCCAAGTAATGGGAACGGGATCTGCTGTTTGGCTGACAAGTGTTTTGTTACTGGGTTAACATGCTCCAATTCACCCGTCCCCATGAGGCACAGTGAGCATCTCTGCGTTTTGCCCGTGTCCCTCGCAGCAAGTGAAGTTGTCTGCTCTGAGTCTACGCTGGAGTGAAGGTCCGCTCTTGAACATAGCCAGCAATCACTCATCCAAAATAATCCCCTCCTTCCCCAAACTTGGCTTTATTTAGATCCCATGAATGCTTTTTAGGATGGCTTGATTATTGTTGATTGAGCTTAAATGATGGGTTGATATTCAGCGGAGCAGGCACTAATGTTATTGCAGGAGAGGGGGCCAATAAAAAGCAATTCTGCATTAGCTATACTCTGATGTCAGTCGGCGATGTGCTTTGTCGCTGTCACTGAGGCAAAAATCTGTGATGCAAACCTATATTTAGATTTTGTTTTGTTTTGTAATGTGTCTAAAGAATGTCAAATAAATTCAAAACCAAAGAGTGAGAGTGTGGTGAATGCAAGAAACTTTTCCTAAAGTAGTGTTTTAAAAAAATAAAAAAATAAAACAAGGATTGTTTCATGGGTGATTAGCAGGAACAGTGAGGTAGGCAGTGATGCTTGGTTGGCTCTGACTTATCTAATTGCTGCTGCCTTGCCTGGGTAAATGCTCATGTCTGACTCTAAATAAAAAAAATAACAATCAGGCCTCCAATGAAGAGAGTTATAGGAATAACAATGTATGTGCATTTAAAGCCTCTTTAAATACTACAGAACGTAACACAACAGACTTACACCTGCTGACGTTAAACTGCAGGTGACTGCAGACACAGCCACAGTCTATTTTCACTTTTTATCATTAGCTTTCAGCATGTAAAATGCAAGTGCCCCCTAATGGGGCTGAAAGTCACTGCGTTGTCATTGATGTGTCACAAACACACAAAACAGCTTTTTTTCCCCTGACAACCAAGGTATGAAAACACAGTGTTACAGATTTAGTAAACATCATTATATCAAAATGTGTACTGAATGCAATGTAATATTCTTATAATTACGGCCAACGTGTGCAAACCTTACAATATATTAAAAAATGATTTATATATATTCACATTTGCCTGTTTCATCTGGTACAATATATTAAAAAATGATTTATATGTATTCACATTTGCCTGTTTCATGTCTTTTTTGTCTATGAGTTAGTTATGAATCCTTGGGAAACTTCTAAAAATTGTCCACTGAGACAAAAACACGAGCTCCTCACGTTCATATGAACTAGATTAGATAGTTACTCACAAGCAGAAAGAGCTTTAAAAACAATGCAAGCATTTGGAGAAATACTGCAGCACATTACACACACACACACACACACACGCACAGGAACACAGGGATGATGAAACAGCAGGCTTAGGTTTGACTGCAGGATAGTAGAAGTTTGAATAAACTATAAAGAATAAAATAAAAAAAGGAAAATGAAGTGGACTACAAAAAGAAATATTACTCCACCTAGTGGAAACAGACCTTATAGCACGGGGCAACAGGCAGATTTTAGTCACTCCCACTATTGTTCCCGCAGGGTTAGTAATATCCTCTGTGTAAGATGGTGTTACATGATTATTTTAGAAGATGTGATTCAGGCAGCACTTCCCAAAATATGGGCCACGGTCCACTCAAGTCCCTAAAAAAGAGGCTTTAGGTGGACAGGGGTTATGGCAGATGAACTGCAACAAAGGTGCCATAAGGCACAAGTGACTCATTAGAAATATTATTATTTATGAGTCAATCGAATGCCATTACACTTTGTCACTGCTTTACCCCAGTAACCAGAATCCAAAACTCAGTGGCTCAGGTTTTTTTTTTTTTGTAACAGAAAACTGATTTGCATCTTTTTCAGAAACTGCGAATCTCATGGTATTTTCACACACAACCGTCTCACGAGTGAACAGAAAATGATCAGAAAAGGAGAAACTATTTGTAAAGAGCTGTTTTCTGTCAGAGAAGCCTAGTTGACAACCGTTTTACAGCAATACACCACCAAAACAGACTTACAGTAAACAGCGAGTATTTCAAAAATTCACATCATGTTGAACTGAGTAGTAGACCGCCTGCCAGTGACAGAAAACAACACTGGTCGCTTCATTAGGTACACCAGGAAATATATCAGTGGACATTGCCATCTGGTTGCAGACTGATTCCCGCTGTTACTTTGTGAGATTCAGGATTTTTTAGATGAACCCATTTTTAAAATAGACGTTTTATCAAAGGGGAGGAGCATGTGTGAGAAATCATAGATGGGCCTGAAGTACAGACTGGCTATGTACACATATTTATTTATTTATGGTGATTAAAGCTTTTTATGCTCACTTTAATGCCTTGGATAAGTTTGGTATTTTTTCTTGTTTCAATAAATAAAAAGTAAAAAAATACCTTTAATTAATAAATACATTAAATATTCAGATATGTGACTCCAATATAACAACAAAATTAAAAAATAAATCGCAACTATATGAATAATAAAATCGTTCTTAACAATGAAATCAGCACGTACACAATTATTATCAAAAGAATTTGTATATTTCTTCATAAATGTACTGTTTGTTTGTCTGTATCTTATTCAAGTTTATTATTTAAAATATACGTAAATTATATGTTATATTTTCGCCGGCCGAGGACGAGAAGGGGGCGTGGCCTACCTGATCGGCAGGTCAGCTCGGACAGCCACTGAGGGAGAGAGAGAGAGAAAAAATAAGTAATATTTCCTGACTTTAGCTTGAAGAATTCCCACTTCCATCTAAGAATTTTTCTCATTAATCTTCTGAAGTGAAGTCAGAAATATTATATTTCAGCTTTTCTCCTGGGTGGCAGTGGGAGACGTGCGGGAAGAATGGCTGCAGAGAGAGAGAGAGAGAGAAAAGAGACGGGAAATGTTTTATTGAAACCGCACAGACTTGTTCACTGTGTTAGTGTAGAGACTTTACTGCCCTATTTCCAGACAGCTCCGTCTACCTGCGCTCTCGGTCCCTCCTTCCACCTCCTCTTTCTCCTCCTCTCTGCCTCCTCCTCCTCCTCCTCCTCCTCTCCCTTCCTCTGAGTTTATGCTGCACTCGTTGCAGTAGGAGGGTTATGGGAGAGAATGACGTCGCCTTGACTGCAAGTCACGTCGACTCCTTCATTTGTTTTCATTACTCCTATTAGAATTATTTTTTTAAATGCACTGGCTCAGATTCGTCACTCTGCACCGTCGCGGACATAATGTGAGTGTGATCCGCCGCTGTCGCCTGAGCCGCGTCTGTGCCGTTGTCCTGTCAGAGCAGCAGCAGCAGCAGCAGCAGCTCTGTGGAGGATTACTCGGGCTAATACGCAGCAGACTTATCCACTTGTGTTTCTCTATGAAACTGCAAACTGTGCGTTAGAGACTCACTCGGATACACGCGGCACTGTTCGACCGCGGACATTCACGGACTTTTGCAGTGCGCGTCTTTCCTTTCTTTTCTCCTTTTCTTGGTGTCCTCTGGAATATCGCTGCCCAGCAACACACCCACCTGACAACTCTGAATGTCGTAATTAGGGTAAGGACACTGACACACACACACACATACACACGCAGACAGACCCACTCCACTGTGAGAAAATGCACATTTTAACGTGTATCTAATGGGGAGGGGGTGGGGTGGGGTATCAAGCTAAAAAAAAAGAAAAAAAAAGAAAGAAAAACTCCTCGCTGCGCCTATGCATCCCCGCATCCTCTCTCAGCCTTTAAACCTGATAAGTTTCATTCGGGACCGTTTAGTGTGTCTGGTCCACAGCCGGTGTCTGAGAACTTAACTTAACATAAGTTTGTGTTTGCGTGTTTACGAAATCCCACTCCGCACTTGTTGTGACTGACAGCAGTTTGACTTTCTGTGTGCGCACCTGTGCATAAAAGTGGCTGGTTAGAAATGTTGAGCTGTCAAGACTGTTCCACCATCACTCACCCAACTTCAAACTTTACGAAACAGTGAAAGCAAAAATAATAATACAAAAATAAACATTTCAACGCGGCGCAGACTTTGGGGGGAAAAAACCGTGTCAAGTAGTGCCATCAGAACAGAAGTACTGACGCGCATTTATTTTTTATTCATGTCATGGCTTTGCATTTTCACATTGGCCTATGAGCAGGCGATATTTAGCAGTCAACCTGCCTGAACTTTAACTGAAATATTACGGCTTGGTCAGTCCTGTGTTGTGTAATTATTATTATTTTCATTTTTAAATCAACATCTTTCAAAGATAAATCCTGTCTCATTTAATCAGTCTTAATCGAATGCTATAATTATAGGCTGCTGTCAACGCCTTGTTGGAGACACGTTTGTCCGGCAGCTCAAACTAGATTTCAAGTTGTGTCGCAGCTCTGCTGAGGCTGCTGGAGAAATAACTATTGAGTGACAGCTTCTGTACCAATCAACGAATGGCCTGACGAGGCTCTGACCCGGCTGTCCAATAGAGGAGCAGTGGGGGTGGGAAGTCAAGCAAAAAGTCCAGTCGACGTCACGCAGATACAGATATTAACCCTTGCAGCGCAGTTACCCTGAATTACTGACCTTTTAAGATAAAAATCTACACTAAATTGCACTATATCTTCGTTGAGGATAAGTCATCGGAGTAGATTTTAAATAATACACAGCTTTAATTATTTAATCTAATTTATTGTGGTAGTCTGTGCGTCTGTAAACAGAGAGCGTGTGGCACTCTTCCAGCACCCGCATGTGGTTTTGCGAAAATACTTGTGATTGTGCTGTAAAATATTATGGATATAAACATATCAACTCCTTTATCTTGGAAACATTTGTTACGAGTACGAGGGTTTTTTTTAGGATGAGAGACTAGTGATTTCCCTCAGCATACTAAGAATGCCACCTAGGGGCACATTATGCCTGAGCCAGCAGTCAGCTGTGAAACTAGTAGTTCTATTCTGCTAACAAAGTGCCAAAAAGTTAAATAACACAACACGCTGAAGCATAAATTACCACATTGAAAACTTTTCCCCAAAGTTTTTGTCTCATATAATAAACTATTTTTCTATGAGACAAAAGCTGTTATTTGGCAATGTAGGATTATAAATATTTTATACTATTACCTTGAAGGATCAGCTTCTACCTTTAAACTTTTAAACATTAGGTAAAGGTTGATAAAACCTTTTTTTAATATAATTTCATGCTCTTGCACGATTCACGTTTTTTCTCTAAAAAAGATATGGATAGTTTTGGATAACAAGAATATTTTCTTCTTTCTTCTCGCAGACTTATTTATCAGATGAATCAATGAAACAACAATGGAGACCAAAAGATACCAAAGTTTGTTTGATGGGAGCGATGCAGATAACAGGTGGCCTCAGATCCCCACCATGGAATACTGTGGCGATGCAGAAGATTCCAGTTTGACTGGCAGTGATATCTTGATGGACATAGTCAACGTCAGCTGCCCTTCTGGAAGTCCAGCCAACAACTGCAAAGACAACGACACAAAGAAGGAGGATCAGCCAATGTTTCGGCACAGCCAGAACCAGCCATTTGTTCCACCACACTTCAACAACTCTCTCCACGGTCAAAAGCAGGAAATGGACTCCAAGGCGCTTTCAAAGACTGTGGCTGAGTCTATGGGCCTCTACATGGACGCCATTAGGGAGGCAGAATATGCCTTTAACCAGCAGGGGGGTAACAACAGCCCTGGAAAGATGTATCCAGCGTGTGCACGGCCCCTAGAAGATCCCCACTGTGGGACCACAAAGAGCCCCAACATGAAGCCTTTTGGTTTCGATCAGTCCAGTGGCAGTCCAGGAGTTTGCACACCTGGGAATCCAGCTGCTTCAGCCTTGGTGCTGGCCTCACCACTTTCAAGTAGCCCCCAAACCTTTAGCTCAATCTCCAGCCCTGGGGGAAGCAACAACATGGTGTCATCAACCACCAGTCCCCCGGCATGTTTTGGACTGGTGGGTTCATCCGTCAATAGTCCTGTCAGTCAGACTTCATGCGCTGCATCTCTGGCCAACATCAAACACAGGAATTCAGCCGCATGTAGTCCTGTCGAGTCCACTACTGTGGGCTCACCGCCCATTGCAAGTCCACTCAATGTCATGAGGTCCCCCATGTCCAGCCCCCAGAGCATGAGTAGTGTTCGATCTCCTCTGTCATGCAGCAATTCGTGTAACATGAGGTCTTCTGTTTCCAGCCCAGCAGGTGGCAGCTGCACCAGTACTACCAACGACTGCAACACGGTCACACCCTCCGTCCCAAGTCCTGCCACTGGAAGTACTTTGGCTGTTAGCAGCCCACAGAACCCATCTCCTGGTGGGTTTGCAATGCCGAGTCCTGCTGGTGGACTTGGTTTGGTGCAGAACGACACCAACAGCCCAGAAGCAACAACTCCAGTCACAGGCACAGAATTTAAGAACTTTCAGTTCCCTAAAGTAGATATGGTGGATGGGAAAATGTTCAACATCGGCTTAGACCAGATGGGCATGGTTAAGTACATTAAGAACGAGCCCGGGACTGACATCAGGAGCATGTGTTTAGGTAGCTCCAAATGTAATGCCAATGGTGCACCCTTTATCACACAGATTAAAAATGAGCCAAACACAAATGAAGGATGTATGAACCAACAGGCCTACAATGACCACTCGCAGTCTCTCGGCCTCTTTCCTGTGTCCGACACCACCTATTTATCCCTGAGGAATAATATTGATAAATACAGCCTTTCTGGTATCTTAGGACCCCCTGTCTCCATGGACGGGGACTATGACCCAGATATGTTCTCCAACAATGTCTTGTCAAAAGAAGTGAAACAGGAGACTACTGACAGCAGCTATTACCAAGAGAATCCCAGCATGCCCACATCAGCCATTGTAGGAGTAAATTCTGGAGGACACTCATTCCATTACCAGATTGGAGCCAAAGGAACAATGTCTTTCACACGGCATGGTGTGAGAGACCTGCCCAACCCTTTGCTAAATCCAGTCTCGCCTGTAACAGCATTAATGGAGTCCTGGAAAAATCGATCAGCCATACTAGGCAGAGGTGAAGGATACCTAGGTCAAAACATGCCAAGGTAAGAAGAATACAAATATGTACAGTATACATGGTACTTTATTGGATCTCTTGCTTTAGAGCAACTCCTATGTTTATCCAGCAGAAGAAAGCTTTCATTTGCAGTGTGTGTTTTTCATTCACGTGTGTGCACGCCTGTATAACAGCCAACATCTTGTCTCTCTGGAGGCTAAGATATTGTGACCTGCCGGTGTCAGTTTGACTCCCATGGCACAAGACGTTCACAGTATTTGCTGTAAGAAATCATATCAAAGGTAGAGCCTGTTAAAGTCAGCAGGATGCTGGCTGGAAGAACTGGAATGAAATGCCGAGGCTTGGGTCACTGTTGTAATGTCATGTGATCACAACATTATGTCTGTTTGCACAGGTTGGTTTCACAGACACTGTAACACGGAGGCAAAGTTTAACTCATATCACTGACCTGGGTGTATGTTATACAACAACTTTTATTAGTCCATTATCAGGAGGTCCAGCTTAGACTCTGTGTACGGCTGTTGTTGTGAATATCTGTTTTTGTAGGCCCTGAGCCATTGGCAGCAATATGTATTAAGAATGATTGATCGCATGCCTTTGTTGCCAGTTTGATTAAACAAACAGTTACATTGTGAGGGTGGAAGCTAAAGCAAAACAAACAGTCCAGCCGAAAAGAAAAAAGGAAAAAAAAAGTGCAGTTGCTTGTACTGTACAACTCTGACACAACTATTATGCTTCCATCATATACTGACGACCGGTTTGAATGGGTAGTTACTGTCAGCGTACTAATTACAGTGACTATCAACACAGTGGTACGAAAATGCATGCGTGTGAAATGGTAAATAGACGTTCACCCGACAGTTCACGATGCAGCTGTTTATTTTTAGGAAGTCAAACGCAAATTTCCAATGCTGTAATTTAGATGTGATGTAATGCTTATGTACCAGTGAGTGTCTATTTGTGCGTGGGATATCATAAATTCAGTGGTTTTATGAGCGAGGGAGACGGAGCACTAAACAAAGTCATAAATGACTTCCTGCTTATTTGGCTTTAATAAGAGTCAGACTGTTGCTTAGAAAGCGGAGCGGTGTACAGTAGTATAATTGACATTGTTGACTTTTGGTCTGTGTTTTACTCCACTTAAGCTGGATAATCTGCTGCAGCGTAAACTTTTATTGAAAGGGAATGCTTCACAAAACTGTCCTTGGAATTTTGATATGTTTTGCAACGCTTTTCTTTTCCATTCTGATTAGCTCGAAACATAAAGTACACACTCATCTTAGGAGTAGAAGTGTTTGTGTTTGCATGTGTGTGTGTGTGTGTGTTTGGGCTGTAACAAGGCTTACAGCTCTGAGGAGACTGATACAGCCTGTTACCTTGGAGGCGACCCATATGGCAGGAGGCAAAGCGATGTTGACGGGATCACTGCCACCTTGGTTCTAATGAGATCCAGCTTAGCCCTAATGTCAGACAGAATGTCAGTAAGAGATGGGCCACACAGCAGCCAGCCCGAGCAGGAGACAGGCACAAACACACATATAAATATATCCTGAACATGCAATTACCACATAGCCAATGTAGGATGTGAATTATTTTGGTAGGCGATGATACCTACTTACCACACAGTAGTATTTTATTGATTGGTAGCTATACTTAGACATGAACTCAGGTTTGTTGTATCCTGCTTCGATTCTGAACTTCCCTGCAGGAAATTGGTGATATTTTCATGCCTTGGACAGAATTCATCTTTGTGTGACCTGTTATATCATTGGCAAAACTATTACATAACCATTGAAAAAGTATAACTAAAACTCTTTGATTCACTGTGGTCACAGCTGACTAAGTGTAAAAATCACATGGCTTTTTTTTCTCCTGTTATAATTTAGTTTTTCCTCATAGAATATTTTTTTTAATTACAAAAGGCTTTTTGTCTTTACGTAATATTTTGTGTGCTTTAATTAAAACATCCACCCCATTGATGCTTCAATACTTAATAAGCAGTAATTGTAGAATATATAACTGTGTAACATTTTAGAAAACAGCCTTCGCTGCTGCAAAAATCTTCTCCCTCAAAGGCAAGATTTTGTCTTCGTCCTTCCTGTATATCGACATTTTCCAACAAATGAGATTATCTCAAACTTTTCGGCGCTCTGATTTGACTCATGTTGTTTTGCAATTCACTACAAACCTCTTAAATAGACATTCGGAACAAGCAGCTATATACGATAAATGCGATTTTTTTTTTGTCTTGCTTTGAGCTTACAGCCAGAGTCTACAGATGGACAGAATATCCACCGAGCAGAAGCACCAGATTTAGACAGGGAGGAGGCTTTGCACTGGACTCTGGCCAACTTTAAATGTTCTGCAGGGGGATGAAAAGGCATACTCCTGAGAGCACACTAATAAGACTGTAATTGTATGTTCCTTCACTTAATTAATGGATGGAAATGATTTGATTAATTCATACACCGTTGGATACTAATATCCAATTAAATCCCAACATCAGGCATGCACAGAGGCTCGTAGTGCATTATGGGTCTCTGACTATGAAGCGGCCAGCTGCTTGTGGAGGCGGTGTGTGTTGGGGATTGGTTGCCCATCTCAACTGTCTATGCATTAATTGCTCCATTCTCCAGTGTGTTGGCAAATATTTAATTTTTATTTGTAACTTAGTGTAAGAGTCAAATTGCTGAGTTTATGCTTTTATTCATTCACAAATGTTTAGAAATCTAGAATAAACTTGTTCCATCCTGGTTTTACGTGTTGACTTAATCAAAATGTAATTTTATAACTATCATGGTAAGATGTATTCTTTTAGAGACAGCATTTAAAAATACAGGCCTGTCTCTGAAACGTCGACAGCAGATGTAAATGTAGCAGAAGTGGACATTTAAAACAGACTTCCGATTGAAAAGCGAACAAAAATAAAGCTTATTCTCTGCATCACCTGTTCTAGGAGGCAGTAGGTTAGAGGCACGGTACTCAAATCCACACTCACATCCACACCTATGGGCAATTTAGTCCCAAATTTACTAAACCTGCATGTTTTTAGAGTGTGAGGCATGTTTAAAAAAAAAAAAGAAAGAAAAGAAAATCTGCAAAAACCTACACAGACACCAGGGAGATGATTAAAACATCAGTGAAAAGCCCCTGGCTGAGTGTAGGATTTGAAGTGCGTGCACAGAACCTTCCTTGTCTGAGGAAACAGTGCTGGTGATTTCTGCTTTTTAATCTTCTCTTCCAGTGATGATGGTGAATCCAAATGATTAAATTAACTTCTAAAATGTTTTTCTCACCATCACTTAACATCTGTTTGACACCTGAATGGACATCTTGTCAATCCTCATTGCAGGTTAGGGTATATTTGCGTAGTGAGAGGGGTTCAGATACAAAATGTAACAAGAAGTTAAACCTGTCTGTTTGTAAGACAGATATGTGTGGCTACATGTGGTTCATTTGGTTCAAGGTGGAAGGTAGGAGTCAAATGTTGGAGACAGTTTTATGGCCCCAATATTTGCTTTTCTCTTCGTTGTTTTGGGCCAACAGGTTTGTCATGTGTCTTTCCTTGAGAGGAAAAAAAACCCTCCACATTTTACTCACTATTTGCAGAGTTAAAATATGTTTTATGTCAGAATGAAATTCATAGTTTTTTTTTTGTTTGTTTTTTTAACCTTACCTTTTCATAGCGCAAGTTTTCATTTCCGGAGCCTTATTTTTGTTTACGCTGCCGTTAATGGAGGTGAGCTAAGGTTTGGTTGTTTCAGTTTTTCCTTGTGTGGTTTCCTAGCTTGTAGGTTTCTGTAATGGCTCGGTTGCTGCGTCGACTAAAAGTTGCTTTCACTGAGTCACTGAAAAATATTTTTCAGTACTGACTAAGAACAACTGAGAATAAAACTTGCAATATTTCAAAAAAATAATATATCCAATATATTTTGTATATATGTATATATGTTTATATACAAAATATATGGATATATAATTTTTCTCTCACTCTCTTGCTCTCTCTTTCTATCACTATATATATGTATATACATATATATATATGTGATGTACACAAAAGCAGGCAGACATGCAGATCTGATCTTGACTTTCAAAATGTTGTTTTATTCTACATTTACTTGCTGACACCAGGAGTTCTCCTCATGCACCTCTGTGACCTGGACAGAGAGCCAACATGATGCAGTGCAGCACTGTGACCGGACGCTTCTGTAGTAAAGGGAGGAAAAACGTTGTAAAAAAATCTCCAATCTGCTTCTGCCTTTCTGCAGCTGTGCACATGCACACACATGCACAAGTGCACGACCACCAACACTAACAGGAACAACAGTACACATTGTAGGCCAGAGCTGACACCCCAATAAATGTGTGGTTACTGTTGGCCGAGGCTCCTGGGAGTTGAATGCTCGTCTCGTCCTCAATTGAACCTTTTACCAACGGTCTTGTTGACAGCGGGACGGCTTCTCACAGGGATAGGCCTTTAGTTGGAGGTCTACTCTCAGTTACCCACTGCTGATATACCCTTCTGTAGTTAGGGGTCATTACCAAACCATATAAAGGAAACTGAATACCAGGTCGGCAACAAGGCGTAATTCTGGCGTCAGTGTGTGTCTGTATCTGTGTTTGATAAAACGCCCTGATTTCTGCTTCATCGCAGTTTATAAAATGATGTCAGTCGATGTTTACGAAACTCTGTTTGCCGAACAGATAAGAAGTCGTGACAATCACCCGCACGTAGCCCTGATGATCTCCTGAGCCGCAGGGTGTTTGTATGAAAGAGAAGTTGAATGAAATGCACTGTCACCTGAGATCATACAGCATCATGCAGGGATCGATGTTTGCAGAACTGCACAACTACAGGGAAATCTGAGTATTTCAACAGAATCTACAAAGATGAATGTCCCTGAGAGTCGACTGACAATTTATAAAATCTACTGTCATGAGTTCAAATTCACAATTCGTTTGTTAAAACAAGGTATTTGGTTTAGCTCGGGTTATACTGTAACTGTATGAATATCTCTACCTCAGTTT